TGTTTTAACACATCGGGCATATGGTCTAAGAGCCTTGTTTTTATGATTCGAACATTTGGGGAGTTCTGAGAGCATCTTTCGTGGTGTGCCTGTAGGAATGCCGGAACGGTCGGTCCCTGCTCGATCTCCTTTTCCTGCCTCTGCCGCTGGGCCCCCTGGCCCATGGCCCATGGCGATGGTGAGCAACAGAAAAATTACACCAGAGAAACCCCAATCAGCGGATGGTGTTCGCTGAGGAGATCGACCGGGAACCCAGGAGCCCGGGAACCCAGAACCCAGAAATCGGCCCGGAACCAATGACCGGGCGGGAACCCGGAACCGGGAGCCCGGGAACCCAGCCTGCTACAAAAAGCGGCGGGGAATTGTCGCCAAATTTTTCACCTTCTGCTAGGACCCCCTTCAGTGCAAGCACTGATTGGGGAAAGAAGGGCTGTCCGTGCGTCTTGGTTGGAGCAGGAGGCCAGGCCGACGCCCTCCCTCGGAGGCCTCCGCGGTGCGCGCCCGGTCCCGTCGGACCTCCTCCGCGGCGCGCCCCAGTCCTTACCCGGCCCCCCGCCCCTCTGGCGCCGGGAGGAAAAAGCCAGCTCCGCGAGCTGATTCTCTGCCCTGCCCTTGCTCTCCTGCCCTTTTTTCGGGAGGGGGGAAAGCACACGGACACCATTCATCGTTGATCCCGAGGAAGATCTGCGAAAACAATTGGAAGTGGGGGGGAAGACGAAAACCAAAAAAAACATGAAAATATTCGGAATCTTGGGAATTGTGTTTATTTCTTTGCGTGTCCCAGGGCCGCATCACTGTCGTCCCCCCCCCGAGAAGACCAGCCGGCGCACTCCGTGAGACCTCCGCAGTGCGCCCAGCCCCGACGGGGTCCCCCGCCCCTGCTGCGCAGGGGGCTTCGGTAGCAAATCATGGGAGCCTGGCATACCCTCCTCATTCCGTCCTTGGCGTCGAGTCTGGGAGTCGATAGGAAAGTGCCAATTTTGCGTCGGCCAGCGTCGATAGTGCCGATTTTGCGTCTGCCAGCGTCGATGAGCGTCGACCTAGCGTCGAGTAGCGTCGACTAGCGCTGATTCGCAAGAGCCGGAGGAGGAGGAGGAGGAGGAGGAGGAGGAAAAGGACAAGGAGGAGGAGGAGGGAGGGGGGGAAGGAGGAGTGATGATGGGTGGGCGGCCTCGTGATGAGGCAAAGGAAAAGGAGGAGGAGGCGTGATGTTTGCGGAATTGGGATAGGGTGATCGATCCGATCGTAGGGATGAAGAGAAAAGCGTTGGGTCAGGATCAGGTATTCGTTGGATGATGACTGGGATGAGAAGGATGTTGTACAATGGATGGTGGGTATGATGTATGATGAGGGTAAGTGTGTGGGAGTAGGGGTGCTTGGGTGTGTGTAGGCTTGGAAGAGGAGGAGGAGGCTCCCACGAGTTGCCACCGGAGGGAGGGGGCGCGCAGCCTCGCGCCCTCTTGCGGCCGCCCCCCCCCCCTCCCCGTTCTCTGCAGGCCGCCGGCGCCGACTTCGAGGTGGCCCCGCCAGAGGAGGCGCGCGCCGGCGGGGCCAAGCCGCCCACCTGTCAAGCAGTGGCGAAGCGTCCTGGCTCTTCGTCCTCGTCCTCCTCGTCCTCGTCCTCCTCGTCCTCTTCTCCCTCTTCCTCCTCCTCCTCCTCCTCCTCCTCTCCTCCTCCTCCTCCTCCTTCTCCTCCTCCTCCTCCTCCTACGCCTCCTCCCCCTCCTCCTTCTCCTCCTCCTCCGCCTCCTCCTCCGCCTTCTCCTCCTCCTCCTCCTCCTTCCCCTCCTCGCTCCTCCTCCTCCTCCTCCTCCTCCTCTTCCTCCTCCTGATCCCCCTCCTCCTGGGCGGCAAGCCGGGAGGGGCGGCAGGGCGAGGGCGGCGGCCTCTCTCGCTCAATCAGTGGCGAAGCGTCCTGGCTCGCTCATAGGCCCACCAAGGAAGGTGCTAAGAATTTTGCTGGGGAGTCTGCACGAGATGTTCTTGGATCGTTTCTGGCCGAGGCCGTCGTGTTTTTGACACAACAACATCGGGTTCAGGTTCTAAGAATTGTGTTTTGGTCTTAGAACATATTTGGGTTCTAGGTACGGTTCGTGCTAGGCCGGCGCGGATCCGAGAAATTTGCGCGGAGCGCCAACAGTATATGGTTATGCAGATGCTTCCTCTTCTATATACGTAAAGAGTGGCCCTTCGCCGGGGTGACCTTCGGTGCGGGATCATCGGGACCGCTCTGGTCGCTGAGCGCGGTTCGATGGTGGTTAAGGTTGCTTGCGCGCTTGGACACTTTGCGCTCCCTGATTCGCACACCGAAGGTCACTCTTGCCTAAGGTCACTCTTGCGAGTAGCCGAAAGATGGAGTCGGAGGATCGCGCCGCATCGTCAACGTATCCGCGGTGCAGCTCGATGTGGAGCCCGATGTTCTCAACGCCGACGTCGCCGATGCATCGCCGACGCTGCCGATGTATGGCCGATGCATCGACGGTGCATCGGCGATGCGGCGCGATCCTCCGATCCCATCAACTCCGACCTCGTCTGGGAGGCCTCTAGCCCACCCGCCCCACCCCCCTCGCCGTGGTCCTGAGGGAAGCGGATCCTGAGGTTGGTCGCCGCTTTTGGGCTTCCCGGGCCCTCCGCTGGCCCTGGGACCGTCAGACAGCGCTTCGTGGTGAAGGAGTGGTCCTGGGCCTGCGGGTCAAAAAAGTCGACCCTCGGTCCTCTCTTGGCGTGCGTTCCGACCAGAATTTGGAGGCGAATCCAGCCGTGGCGCGACGAGAAGTCCCCAGGAGGCCTAAACAAGCCCCGAGACCCCAAATTCGATGTCCGAGGTTCGTTGCCCTTTCGTCGAGATCGGGTCTGCCTCCCAGGCGCTGGGCCCTTTCCCTCGGGACCCGCTCCCTCCCATGCTGACCCCCCCCCCCCCCCCCGGCACTCCGGCGATCGCAGAGCGTGCGGGCACGGCGGCGTGCGGTCTGCGATCGGCGCCGCGCCGTGGGGGGCCTTCGAGGGCACGGCGCCGTCCTCGTCGGGCCTCCCGGGGGCGCGGCGGAGAGCGCTGTCGAGGTCCCCGCCCGCCACCCGGGGGTGCCCCTCGTCCTTCTTGTCCTCCTCGTCCTCGTCCTCCTCGTCCTCGTCCTCCTCGCCCCCCGCGGCGGAGGGCTCTATCGAGGTCTCCTCGTCCTCCTCGTCCTCGTCCTCCTCATCCTCCTCCCCCTCCTCCTCCTCCTCCTCCTCCTCCTCCTCCTCCTCCTCCTCCTCCTCCTCCCAGTTGCAAGCCACACCTTTTACAAACTACACTCTTCGTCGGGGTCGCCGACGCCCGCCCCCCCCCCCCCCAAAAGAGGGGCAGCGTCAGGAGAGGATGAGCTCAGGGGGAAGGCAGAAGGAGAAAAGTGGTGGTCAAGCGCCCCCTCCTTTTGGGAGTTAGCGCTTGACTGACCCATGCCAGAGATAAAGGTAAAGCTAAAAAACATGTTCCAAAAGAAACTCCCCCCTCCCTCCTCAGACAAGGAAAGGCTCGGCCAAGCGAAACTCGGCCAGCCGAACTCGGCCACCTTAAACTCGGCCAAGAGCCGAGTCTCGCGTGACCGAGTTCAGCGTGGGCTGAGTTTCTCTAGCCGAGTTTTTCAGACCGAGTTTCTCCGGGTATTCCGGCCGAGTTTGGATCGAGTCCCAAGCAAAAAAGAGAAATAGGCTGCGAGTTGCGCCCCCATGGGCTCTTCTGACGAAACTGCCTACGGTGCAGCATCGAACGAGCATTTTCGACGATGGGACCAGAGGCGGAGCAGAGAGACTCAGTGTACAGTGGGGGGTTCAAAAAAACCTGACCCATCCACCTGCCCGCCCCCCCCCCCCTCGGGGCCAAAGTCAGGAGTAGATGGGCTCAGGGGGACGGTAGAAGAAGACAGGTGGTGGTGTTGCCTTGTCATGGCTCGTGCTTCCGCGCTCCTCTGCGCTCCCGCTTGCTTCGGCCGCCGCGCGCGGCCCTGACAGACGCTGCGGGCCGGCTCGGCCCCCAGAGTTGCGCAAGAAGATGGACTCAGGGGGAGACGCATCGGCCCACAGTCAGTTGCCCACTCATCGCCGACAGGGGCCCGAGAAGTGGCCCGCCCCGCACCGTAACGCGCGGATTCGCCGTCGGGGGCCTATTGCCGATCTATCGTCGACGTATCGCCGATTCCAGTTCGATGTGTCCCCTCAGATTCGGGCGAGCGCACGGTTTTGGGGCGTGGGTCGTACTCAGTGTGTGTGTGTGTGTGTGTGTCTCGGGCGGTTGGGGCCTCCGAGCTGCCCCCCCCTTCTGGCGCTGCCCCCCCCCCCCCGAGCTGACCCCTCCTGCAGCTGCCCCCGCCCCCTCCCCCTAGTGCATCTGCTCGTGTTCCCCCGCCCTCCTCTTCCTCCTCCTCCTACCTCCTCCTCCTCCTCCTCCTCCTCCTCCCTCCTACCCTCCTACTCCTCCTCTTGCTTTTTTTTCCTCCTCCTCCTTTCTCCTCCTCCTCCTCCTCCTCCGCCTCCTCTTCCTTCTCCTCCTCCTTCTCCCTCCTCCCTCCTCCTCCTCCTCCTCCTCCTCCCCTTCCTCCTCCTGCTCCTTGCTCCTCCTCCTGCCTCCTCCTCTCCTCCTCCTCCTCCACTTCGTCTCCTCCTCCTCCTCCTCCTCCTCCTCCTCCCGCCTCCTCCTCCTCCTCCTCCTCCCCATCCTCCTCCTCCTCCTCTTCCTTCCTCCTCCTCCTCCTCCTCCCCCTGAGCTGCCCCCCCCCCGCTCTAGCGTTGCCCATCAGAATACTTGCTTCGTTCCCCCAAGCATGGCCTTCGCTTTCCGCGCGCCTTGCCTTCGGCGGGAGCCGGTGGGAGGCTGGGGGATTAAGTCTCGGGCGTGTCCCTCTACAGGAGGAGTATTCAAGAATAGTACAAGATAGTATGGTGACGATGTTGCGTTGTGTTATATGTCTTATGGCTTGGCGATTTTCGCGTTTCTTCCAGAATCCGCCTGCCGGAGGTTTCGTAGCCATTTTGGCTCAAGTTCCTTTTTGGGGCCTTGGCTCCCCCTGGCCGCGGCCGCGCCGCAGAGCAGAGCAGCCCCGCACCCCCCCTCCCGGGCAGCGCCGCGGCCGCGCCCGGCCGCAGGAGCCCGCCACCTGCGCTCGCCGAGGGGATGTCGGTGGCCGCGGTGGAGCTCGGGGCGCTGCTGGAGCCGGACCTGGAGTCCCGGACAGACCAGCACGGCCCCGCCGCGCGGGCCCGCTGGGCGCGTCTCGGGCGCCGGGGCGCCGCCGCCTCGCTGGCGGCGACCGCCGCCCTGGCCGTAGCCTGGCTCGCCTCGGCGGCCGCGGAGAGGCGCCCGCCCGCAGCGGAGATCGGCGCGGAGCTCCAGGGCGTGGTCGGGCTGTCGGCGGACGAGGCAGTTCGTCGCAAGGCGAGGATGGACCGCCTGCGGAACCTGGGGGCCCACCGGTGGGGGGTCAACATCCATTTCACAGGCGACCATCAGGATGAGATTGCCGCGCTGTCGAAGGGCTTCAAGATGACACGCGTCGACCTGTTCTGGCACAAGGCCGAGAGGGTGAAGGGCCAGTTCGATTTCGCGCAGTGGGACCAGCTCGTGGAGAGTCTGCAGAGGAACGGCGTGCAGCCTATGTTCATCCTCTGCTACGGCAACCCGCTATACGGCTGCCCAGACCATCCAAGGACCCCTTTCTGCCAGCACAAGTTCGCCAACTACGCACAACAAGCGATGACACACTTCAAGGGCAAAGGCATCATTTGGGAGCTGTACAACGAACCGAATGGATTCTGGGCGCAATATGGAAAGCTCAAGGAAGAAGCCAGGGTAGAATATACTGCTTTAGCTTCCAACGTCATGCATCGTGTCCGATCTGACCCGCAAATCCGCGACGAGATCGTCATTGGGCCTGCCACCTCAGGTCTCGACATAGATTTCATCATGGTTTGTGTCCACCATGGGCTCATGCAGCTTTTCGACGGCATCTCCGCGCACCCGTACCGCAGGGCGATTCCCGAGGACGTGATGGGCTCTTGGTCGCAGCTGAGGCAGAGGCTCAGTCGCCACCCGGAAACGTCCGGGATGCCCCTAATCAGCAGCGAGTGGGGGTGGGCCACCTGCTGGCAGGGCAAGCAGCCCAAGGCGTGCCCCGCGCGCGGTGCCGGCACGGGCGACCTCATCACGGGAGTCGAGCAGGCGGCGAGGCTGGCGCGCCAGTGGTTGATCCACGACAGGACATTACCAGCCTGGAACATATCCCTATCCCTATGCTGGGCACCTCCTCATCACGATGCCAATCTTAGGGATCCCCTTATTTTTTGAGGGCGCATCTCTAAGATTGTCATCGCCTTTTGGCGTGTCAATCTTAGGGATAGGGGTAAGTTCGAGGCTGGTAAGGACGGGCATCTCGTTCAGCATCTGGTACGACTGGAAGAACGACGGGGGCAGCGGAATGAACGCGGAGCACAACTTCGGCGCCACGCAGCACAATGCTGACTACTCGCGCAGCTGGCACACGTTCGCCAAGCCGGCGTACCTGGCAGCGATGACGCTGCAGACCTGGCTCGGCAACCTCTCCTACGTGGGGGACGAGTGCAAGAAAATGGGGAATCAAGGTGTATTCTGCCTGAGGTACCGGCGCCACAACGACCCGAGCGGCGAGTACGACAGGTACGCCGTGTGGTCGATGCATGGCAAATCAATCAAGCAGGTGACAATTAACCCGCCCCGGTGCATGCGGTTCATTGGCATGACGGGAAACAGTGTACCCAGCAAAGAGTTGCATTATTGCCCAGACGGCAAATCTACAATCAACATGCCGGTGACTTCATACCCGGTGTACCTCATCCCGGAGGACGATATGCCAGAGGAGGACATCCCCACGACAACAGTCACAGAAACGTTGCCCACGACCACGGTGGTGACCATGGCGTCGTCCACGGTGGCGCCCCCTGCGGTGCCAGGCACAGCGGCGCCTACGCAGGCGCCCACGGCCGTACCGACTACGGAGGTGCCCACTGCGACGCCGACAGCAATGCCCACTGCGATGCCGGCGCCCACGCAGGCGCCGACCCCGACGCCGACTTTGCCGCCCACGGAGACGGCGGTCATCCGGTTCTTGAAGTCGAGCGCGGCCACCGACTTGCGCGCCGACCGTGTGGCCTGGCTGCAGACCATGGGCAGTCGCAGGTGGGGCGTGGGCGTGGACGTTGGCACCTTCGAGCCAGGGGAGGAGGCCGAGCTGGCAAACGGGTTCTCCACCGCGCGCCTGATGGTGTCTTGGGCCGTCGTCGAGGCCGAGATGGGCTCCTATGACTTCTCCGTCTACGACGGCGTGGTCAGCCGGCTTCAGAGGGAGGCAGTCACCGTCGTCGCCTCGCTGTGCTGCGGCAACGCCCTGTACGGCTGCGACCGCTACCCTGGCGGCAGCCCCAGGTGCCGGGAGGCGTACGTGGCCTACGCCAGGGCCACCCTGTCGCACTTCCGCGGCCTGAACGTCGTCTGGGAGGTCTTCGATGAGCCGAACACCGCGTGGGCCTACGGCGAGGGCGTGGACAAGGCCGCAGCACAGTACGCCCTCTTGCTGGATGCGCTCGGGCAGGCGGTCCGCCTGGACGCCAACATCTCCACCGAGGTCCTCGTGGGCCCGGCGACGGCTGGGATCGACACCCAGTTCATCGCCGCCGTCGGGGATGGGGACGCCTCGGCAATCAAGTGGCTGGACGGCCTCTCCGTGAAGCCCGCGCCTGTGCACGCCGACGATGACGGCAACCTCATGGCACTCGCGGAGCTGGCGAAGCGGTACGCCCCGAAGGGCCAGGCCCCCCTGGCGATGCTGAGCACCTCCTCTGGCTGGCCGGCCTGCTCCGACGACCTTGCGCGGTCCCGGGCGTGCCCAAGCCTGGGCTTCGGCGGCGCGGCCGTGGCGGCGGACCCGTCAGGAGCGGTGCCGCTGCAGGAGCAGGCCGCACGATTGGCGCGGCAGTGGTTGGTGCACGACGCGTGCAACGTGTCCATCAGCATCTGGAGCCGGTGGAAAGACGACGGCGTCGACGCGGAGGCGCCCGCAGACAATTACGGGGTCGTGCTCCGCACCGCGTCGCCCCTGCGGCCGAAGCCCGCCTATCTCGCGGCGGTGGCCATGAAGCGGCTGTTCGGCCGCAAGAAGCTGGTGTCGAGCTGCAGCTCGTCCGCGGATCTGCGCTGCCTGGCCTACGCCTCCGCCGGCGGGGCCGGCCCCCACAGCTACGCCGTGTGGGCCGTGACTGGCAGCCAGCCGCGGGGACTGGCGCTGCGCCTGGGTTCTTGCCTCGCGGTCGTGGACATGACGTTCGGTCAAGTCGGCCAGGTGTGCCCGGGCGGGGAGCTGGACTTCGTCGCTACGCCGCAGCCCCAGTACCTGGTCCCCTGCGAGGAGTCCCCCTCTGGCAGGTGCGAGGGCGCGGCCACGACGGCGTGATACTGTCTCCTCCTGCCGCCCTGCTCCCTCCGCCGCCCCCTTCTCATTTGCCCGACCCCTTCCCTCGTGCGGGAATTCGCGAATTCGCCCCCAGGCTGCATGTTTTTTGGTCGCCGCCTCCGCCCCGCGCGCGCGCGCGGGTCAGGGCGTCTTGCGGACGATCACGACTCTTTGCATGCCAAAAATTTGGCCCCCGCGAGAGGTGCGTGCCTGGGCGCGCCCTCGCGAGCTGGGGGCCCCGCGGAACGGGCCCGGCGGCGCAAGGACGGCAATCAAGGCGCCGCCGCCCGGACCCTCAGCATCGTTGAGGTGCCAATGCGTTGAACCCTCTTCTTTTAACGGTGTCCAGGAGCCCCGCGCCTGGAGCGGAGCCGTGATTAGCGGCTCCTGCGGCTGGGACGGTGGGGTGGTCGCCTCGTGGGGGAGGAGCGTCTGCATGTTCCTCTCCGTAGTCGGACGGTCTTCGTTGTACAATACCAGAGCCCCTCTGTTTCAGGGTGGTGGAGATGGCTCCCCGAGCGCATTCGCAGCGCGTGCCTCCCAGCCCTCCTGCCTCATCGCCTCCTCCGTCCTCCTCATCCTCCTCCCGTTTCTCCCATCTCTGCTGTGGCCCGTGCCGAGTTGGCCGTTTTCAAGTGGCCCGCCGGGATGCCGCCTCCACTGTGCGCACGCGCGGCTGCGCACACAAGTGGATCAGCGCAGCGCTGGCCCCTCTGGGTTGCGGAGCTGGGGGAGGTGGATCCTGGTGGGGGGGGGGGCGACGGAGGAAGCGGGCAGGCCCTCTGCGCAAGGCCAGCGCAGCGCTTCCCTTAATTCTGTGGCTGGGAGATGTTCCAGGCCTCACAGGCTGTTCTGTTCGTCACAATC